ATTACAGTGATTAAGTACTACCTTTTTCTCTGAACTTCTCACGGACCAACATCGAAAGAAAAGTGCAGAAGGGTAGATTTTCTTTTTTTTTTAAAGATTTTATTGGGGAATTGGGGGACGGGAACAGCACTGGGGAATCTGGGGAAGGGGAACAGACAAGTTGCTGTCCTTTTGTTCTTCAGTCTAGTTGTGGAGGACGTTGCTTCANGTGCACTTCGGGATGAAGTTTTAGATTCATTTCCACAATTATATTCTAAGTCCTGAAAATGGAAAAAAGTTAATTATCATGCTAAGTGTGGTCATAGTCTTTTATTTATATTTTTTGTTTTATTTTTTGAATAAAAGTTTAAAGAGTCTAATAGGTCTACAAGGCTTATAGAGAAAAACAGCAGTCCTTTCACCATTCCACTTCGTTTCCCAGCCCCAGGAGCAACCACTTTCAGCTCTTTTAGTGGGTTTCTTCTGGTACTTACCTCTAGATGTCTATCATGCACCTTCTTAATTTTTCAGTTTTAGGCATTATCTATCCACTTCTCACCGTGTGGAAAAGGATTTTATTCTCTTTCACAACCCTACCATCCGTCATTCCCCCAAGCATACTTCACGTCTCCTTAATAGTCATATCTTAATTTTGGTTAGATCAGTATTTGGAATTCATATTCTTCTGACTATGTAATTATTTTTTACAGCTGAGCTATGTAGTGGGCTGTGACTTCTTTTTTTGTCCTACTTTTATACTTTCTGGAGTTAATAACTTTTTTGTTTATCAGCTTAGTTTTTTGTTTTTTTAACTGAGCCACCCTGCCACCTGTTGGCAGCTCAGTGGCAGCTCAGCTTGGGCTGGGCATCGAACCGCTGTTGCTCAGAGCTTGCACTCTCGAGCGAGCTCTTAACCAACTGAGCCACTCGGCCGGCCCTATCTGCATAGTTTTTTATGTACTTATCACTAATTTATTGGGTTGTCAGAGAAGTCATGACGCATTTTTGCAATGAAAAACATAGAAAAAATACGTCATGACTTTTCCGACAACACAATATTTTCAAACTTTCCCTGAGTTGTTTGTCTCCTTTTAATACATTCAGATACACCAGATATTCTATCAGCTTGATCTTCTTGGAGACATCTCTCTCTGAGCCTTCTCTAATCTGGATTAGTTACCTTCTACACAGCTGTCATCCTAGGAGCTCCCTTCACCTTTATCCTGGTGAACCCTTTTCCTTTCTTTTGTGTTCAGTCCCTTAGCTCCTATATCCCACGCATATTCTAACAAATTGCCACAAATTTAGTGGCTTTTTGATGGAAATTATATTTAAACTGAGCCCTGAAGGCTGAGTTGGGATTTACCAGTTGAAGAGTGAGGGAAAACTGTTACAGGCACAGAAGATAGCATGTATGAAGAAACTGAGGCAGGAAAAAGCATAGTGTTTCTGAGGAAATTCTAGTTTGGGTAGAGAGTGAGGGCAGAGAGTGGTATGAAATGAGGGTGCAGGGCTGGGGCCACATCATGGAGGCCTGCAGGCCCGGTTCAGGATTTCCAACTTTATTCTGAAGCTAATGAGAAACCATTGGAAGGTTTTAAGAAAAGAGAGAGACATGCTAAAGCCTACACTTTAGAAATATCTATCTGGATGTATTGTGAATAATGGGTTAGGTAAGAGTAGAAGCAGGGAGATCAGTTAAGTAAGAAGCAGTCGTCTGAGAGATCACGGTTGCTTGGATCAATGCTGTGACAGTGGAAATGGAGACGAATGAATATGAGAGGTATCCAAGGGGTAGAGTTGCCAGAACTTAATGAAGGGCTGGAGATTTGGGGAGGGAAGAAGCGAGAGAGAAGAATCAATCTTGACTTTCCATTTCTGATGTGGTAAATGTACCTTGGTCCTGTCACACAAAGGTGAGGTCAGTGTGGTTGGCAGACATTGATAGATTTGGTCTAGAGTGACTATCATGTTGCATCCCTACCTTTGCCTGCAGTGGTTTCTAGGGCCGATGAAATGAAAAATTATCAGTTACCTATAAGAAGTTGTCATATGTAAATAGGTCCTTGCATCTTCCTTTTCCAAAGGAGAGTTATATTTCACCCAAAGGCTTGCAAATGGGAGAGCTGCTATAAGAAACTTAGAAACTTATTTTTGCTAAGAGCTTCCCTCTCACTTAGGCAGGTATATAGTTTTTGCTATCTGTTCAAATCTGCTTCTTCAGAAATGATTTGAGGCAGTTTATATTTACTCACATATTTGCTATTTCTTGTGTTTTTCAGTGCTTTGTGTAGATCCAAATTTTAATTCAAATTTCCTTCTGCCTGAAGAATTGAACATTCCTTATAGTGCAGGTCTGCTGGCAGTGAATTTCTTTAGCTTCTGTTTGTCTGAAAAGGTCTTTATTTCACCTTCCTTTTTGAAAATATTTTTGCTGTCATTTTTGTCTTTGTTCCTCTATACATGATAAACCTTTTTTCTCTGTCTGCTTTTAAGATTTTTCTCTTTATCACTGGTTATTAGAAATTTGATAATGATATGCCTCGGTGTGGGTAATTTTCTTCATGTTTCTTCTGCTTAATGTTTCTTGAGCTTCTTGGAGCTGAGGATTTAGTTTTCATGATCTTTGGAAATTTTTCAAACATTATCTTCAAATATTTTTTTTCTGTCCTCTCTTTCTCTCTTTCTGGAATTTGAATTACGCCAAATATTATGCTTACTATTGTCCTACAAATTACTAATGTCCTGTTGTTTGTTTGTTTGTTTGTTTATTTATTCAGTTTTTTTTCCTCTCTGTTTTATTTTGGATAATTTCTATTGCTATGTGTTTCAGTCCACTGATATTTTCTTCTGCAGTGTCTACCATTCAGTGTATTTTTCATTTCAGATATTTTCTTTTTTATTAATAGAGATTCAGTTTGGGTCTTTTTTATATCTTCCATTTATCTCATCATGATCATTCTTTTCTTTTGGAAAATACGGAATAAATTTATAATAACTGTTTTAATGTCCTAATTCTGTCATCACTGTTTTTATGAGTCTGTTTCTGTTCATTTTCTTTCTGATTATTGGTCATGTTATCTTGCTTCTTTGCATATCTGGTAATTTTTTTAAATTGAGATTTTATTCACATACCATAAAATTCACTCTTCTAAAGAGTACAGTTCAGTGGTTTTTAATATATTTACAAAGTTGTGCAACCATCGCCAATATCTAATTCCAAAACCTTTTCATCATCTCTCCCAGAAAACCCTCATACCCATTAGCAATCACTCCCCATTCACCCCTCCTCAAGCCCCTTGTAAGTACTAATCTACTTTCTGTCTCAAAGGATTTGCCTGTTCTGGATATTTCATCCCAATGGAATCATTCAATTTGTGGTCTTTGTGTTTGGCTTCTTTCACTTAGCTTCATGTTTTTGAGATTTATCCATGTTGTACATGAATCAACCTTTATTACTTTTTTT